AGGGGCAGTAGTCTAATAAACATGTGACGATTGAGCAGTAATGGGAATCAAACACAAAAAGGCAGAGAAAATCACTCGCAGCTCTTGAATTATTAACTTAAACTTTAATAAGCATTAATCTAACTATGATAAACCATTCAGTGTCATTTTACATTTGATTTACTAAATTAATTTCTTTTCAGACAGCGCAACACACTTAACTGAAAAGTAGCTAATTTTAGACCTTTCTGAAATTAAAGCACTGTGTATATAGGCTAATTTGTATCTTTGTTTAATTGTATTCTTTGTTTCACCATGTGTTTGTACTTGTTTTTGCTTATATCTCATGTATTTGGGAAAAAAAAGCCTGCACACTGCTGCATAACAAATATAGTAGATATTTATTCATTTTGTGACTGGCCTAAAAACGTAACTGGTTGTAGGTTGCAATAACACCTAGTGGTGGATGCACAGTTTTGAAGACCCAGTCAGTGACGTCACAGTATGCAATTAAAAAAAAAAAAAAAATTCATGATCACCATGACCAAAATTTTTACTTTTTTTTTTACACTGAATCATGGAAAAAAAAAATTAGGACCTACTACGACCCTTTTTTTAAAAAAATTGCTGTTACTGCAAACCAAAATATTTTTAAGGATGGCCTGAGTGCAAAAATGGAGGCTCTAGCCCCTTCCAGAGCTGAGATATCGAAACTCAAAAATTCGGCCCGAAAAAAAAACGACAGTGGTACCCCTTACGTTTTTTTTTTTTGGGCGAAAAATTAAGTTTCTCCAATCTTCCCAAATTCTGATAGAGGGCCATGAGACTTAGACCTGAGTGCAAAAATGGAGGCTCTAGCCCCTTCCAGAGCTGAGATATCGAAACTCAAAAATTCGGCCCGAAAAAAAAAACGACAGTGGTACCCCTTACGTTTTTTTTTTTGGGGCGAAAAATTAAGTTTCTCCAATCTTCCCAAATTCTGATAGAGGGCCATGAGACTTAGACCTGAGTGCAAAAATGGAGGCTCTAGCCCCTTCCAGAGCTGAGATATCGAAACTCAAAAATTCGGCCCGAAAAAAAAAACGACAGTGGTACCCCTTACGTTTTTTTTTTTGGGGCGAAAAATTAAGTTTCTCCAATCTTCCCAAATTCTGATAGAGGGCCATGAGACTTAGACCTGAGTGCAAAAATGGAGGCTCTAGCCCCTTCCAGAGCTGAGATATCGAAACTCAAAAATTCGGCCCGAAAAAAAAAACGACAGTGGTACCCCTTACGTTTTTTTTTTGGGCGAAAAATTAAGTTTCTCCAATCTTCCCAAATTCTGATAGAGGGCCATATGAGACTTAGACCTGAGTGCAAAAATGGAGGCTCTAGCCCCTTCCAGAGCTGAGATATCGAAACTCAAAAATTCGGCCCGAAAAAAAAACGACAGTGGTACCCCTTACGTTTTTTTTTTTTGGGGCGAAAAATTAAGTTTCTCCAATCTTCTCAAATTCTGATAGAGGGCCAGGAGACTTAGACCTGAGTGCAAAAATGGAGGCTCTAGCCCCTTCCAGAGCTGAGATATCGAAACTCAAAAATTCGGCCCAAAAAAAAAACGACAGTGGTACCCCTTACGTTTTTTTTTTGGGCGAAAAATTAAGTTTCTCCAATCTTCCCAAATTCTGATAGAGGCCATGAGACTTAGACCTGAGTGCAAAAATGGAGGCTCTAGCCCCTTCCAGAGCTGAGATATCGAAACTCAAAAATTCGGCCCGAAAAAAAAAACGACAGTGGTAACCCTTACGTTTTTTTTTTGGGGCGAAAAATTAAGTTTCTCCAATCTTCCCAAATTCTGATAGAGGGCCATGAGACTTAGACCTGAGTGCAAAAATGGAGGCTCTAGCCCTTCCAGAGCTGAGATATCGAAACTCAAAAATTCGGCCCGAAAAAAAAAAAACGACAGTGGTACCCCTTACGTTTTTTTTTTTGGGCGAAAAATTAAGTTTCTCCAATCTTCCCAAATTCTGATAGAGGGCCATGAGACTTAGACCTGAGTGCAAAAATGGAGGCTCTAGCCCCTTCCAGAGCTGAGATATCGAAACTCAAAAATTCGGCCCGAAAAAAAACGACAGTGGTACCCCTTACGTTTTTTTTTTTTGGGGCGAAAAATTAAGTTTCTCCAATCTTCCCAAAATCTTCTGATAGAGGGCCATGAGACTTAGACCTGAGTGCAAAAATGGAGGCTCTAGCCCCTTCCAGAGCTGAGATATCGAAACTCAAAAATTCGGCCCGAAAAAAAACGACAGTGGTACCCCTTACGTTTTTTTTTTGGGCGAAAAATTAAGTTTCTCCAATCTTCCTAAATTCTGATAGAGGGCCATGAGACTTAGACCTGAGTGCAAAAATGGAGGCTCTAGCCCCTTCCAGAGCTGAGATATCGAAACTCAAAAATTCGGCCCGAAAAAAAAACGACAGTGGTACCCCTTACGTTTTTTTTGTACGAAAAATTAAGTTTCTCCAATCTTCCCAAATTCTGATAGAGGGCCATGAGACTTAGACCTGAGTGCAAAAATGGAGGCTCTAGCCCCTTCCAGAGCTGAGATATCGAAACTCAAAAATTCGGCCGAAAAAAAAAACGACAGTGGTACCCCTTACGTTTTTTTTTTTGGGGCGAAAAATTAAGTTTCTCCAATCTTCCCAAATTCTGATAGAGGGCCATGAGACTTAGACCTGAGTGCAAAAATGGAGGCTCTAGCCCCTTCCAGAGCTGAGATATCGAAACTCAAAAAATTCGCCCGAAAAAAAAAACGACAGTGGTACCCCTTACTTTTTTTTTTTTGGGGCGAAAAATTAAGTTTCTCCAATCTTCCCAAATTCTGATAGAGGGCCATGAGACTTAGACCTGAGTGCAAAAATGGAGGCTCTAGCCCCTTCCAGAGCTGAGATATCGAAACTCAAAAATTCGGACCGAAAAAAAAAACGACAGTGGTACCCCTTACGTTTTTTTTTGGGGCGAAAAATTAAGTTTCTCCAATCTTCCCAAATTCTGATAGAGGGCCATGAGACTTTACGTGAGTTGTACTTCAAGACCCTCGACACAGCACCGTGCGGATAAACTCAGTGTTTGAGGAGAGTGTGCAGCTGTCAGTCGCCGCACCGGTGTGGATACTGGCATTCAGAATCAAAGATTATTCTTTTTAGAAGTATGACCAACATAAGAATTTTCCCTGGAAAATGTTATCTGAACAAGTAAGAAATATCCAGTTTTCCTCTGGTTCTGACATTGCAGTAAATTGCGCTGATTAAATTTAACAATTGCTTATAAGTTATCATATTACGCAAAACCGTACAAATAATACTTTGTTCTCAAATTGTTAATGTTAACAACGTCAGCAAGCATTGCGTTACTACATATAATGTCCTTCCTATATGTATCCTTGTTTTCGATTTTGGATCATTTTTAACCTAAAATAAGCTGCAGGTTTAATACAATGTAATTACATGTTTATTACAGTGTTATTACATGTCTACTACAGTGTTATTTAACACATTATTATTGTTATTCATTTGTTGATTTTATTTTAAAAAGTAGCGATTCTTCTTGAAAAAAATACCAATTTTTTTTAGAAAAAAGTAGCGATTCATTTTAAAAGAGTGGCGATTCATTTTTGAAAAAGTATAGATTCTTTTTTGAAAAATTAGCAATTTTTTTAAGTATTGATTCTTTTCAAAAAAGTACTGATTCAATTTTGAAAAAGTAGCGATTCACTTTTTGAAAAAGTAGTGATTTAACTGAATTTGTCAGCTACAACTATTTAATTCTGAATATTATATTTTATTCTGGTGCACTTAACGTTATCGTTTTCTCAGTGGAACGGCCTTATTATGATGTTGACGAAATTAACACTGCTTAATAGATTTAAAAAAAAAACAGCCTTGTCATGTTTGCATATGTGTTTATCCTGACAGGGACAATCCATCTGAGAGACTCGGCAACCAGAAGAACGGCGTGAAGGACATCCAGAAACACAAGTATAGATGACATGCTCTGACTTTGTCGCTACATTTACACAATACTGCATTTATTTTAAGACTAAATTAGTCATGATATTGGGGCGGTGATTTGATCTCTCTTGCAGATGGTTTGAGGGGTTTAACTGGGATGGTATTCGGGAAGGAACCTTGGCTCCTCCATTTATACCAAATGTAAGAGATTCTTTAGCCAAATCATTTCATGGACTTTATTTATTTAAACACTAACTTGGAGGGATACCCAAAATACACGGTCAGAATGGATGTCAACACTCCTAATTTCTTTTAGTTGAGTCAACCTCAAAAATATTCAAATTCAACTATCCCACATAATCCTAAATAAACCTATACTGTTTGTTTGCTGCAGGTGGATGGGCCTTTGGACACAAGTAATTTCGACTGTTTCTCTGAGGACACAGATGAGCCGCCCCCTGATGAAGAGTCTGGCTGGGATATTGAGTTCTAATTGGATGGACCAAATGTTATGAATGGACACATAAACTGTAGCCTGAATCCAGAATAGAACATGAACAACAGAGCTGTTAGTGCCTGAAAGTCATGTGCAAATAAAACTTTTTCTTTCTTTAGATTTTATTGTTTTATTTTTTTTGTTTTTTTTGTTTTTGTTTTTTTGCTATTGCATATACACTGTATATTTTTTTCTAATGTTACACATGTATATATTCTATGCACAGTTATATATATATATATATATATATATACTCACCTAAAGGATTATTAGGAACACCATAATAATACTGTGTTTGACCCCCTTTCGCCTTCAGAACTGCCTTAATTCTACATGGCATTGATTCAACAAGGTGCTGAAAGTATTCTTTAGAAATGTTGGCCCATATTAATAGGATCGCATCTTGCAGTTGATGGTGATTTGTGGGATGCGCATCCAGGGCACAAAGCTCCCATTCCTCCACATCCCAAAGATGCTCTATTGGGTTTAGATCTGGTGACTGTGGGGGCCATTGTAGTACAGTCAACTCATTGTCATGTTCAAGAAACCAATTTGAAATGATTCGAGCTTTGTGACATGTGCATTATCCTGCTAGAAGTCGCTATCAGAGGATGGGTACATGGTGGCCATAAAGGGATGGACATGGTCAGAAACAATGCTCAGGTTGGCCGTGGCATTTTAACGATGCCCAATTGGCACTAAGGGTCCTAAAGTGTGCCAAGAAAACATCCCCGACACCATTACACCACCACCACCAGCCTGCACAGTGGTAACAAGGCATGATGGATTCATTTCTCATTCTATTTATGCCAAATTCTGACTCTACCACCTGAATGTCTCAACAGAAATAGAGACTCATCAGACCAGGCAACATTTTTCCAGTCTTCAACTGTCCAATTTTAATGAGATCTTGCAAATTGTCGCCTCTTTTTCCAATTTGCACTGTGAGGACTTCTGCTGTTGTAGGCCATCCACCTCAAGGTTGTGCGTGTTGTGGCTTCACAAATGCTTTGCTGAATACCTCGGTTGTAACAAGTGGTTATTTCAGTCAAAGTTGCTCTTCTATCAGCTTGAATCAGTCGGCCCATTCTCCTCTGACCTCTAGCATCAACATACTGGATGTTTTTTTCCCTTTTCACACCATTCTTTGTAAAGCCTAGAAATGGTTGTGCGTGAAAATCCCAGTAACTGAGCAGATTGTGAAATACTCAGACCGGCCCGTCTGGCACCAACAACAATGCCACGCTCAAAATTGCTTAAATCACCTTTCTTTCTCATTCTGACATTCAGTTTGGAGTTTAGGAGACTGTCTTGACCAGGACCACAACCCTAAATGTATTGAAGCAACTGCCATGTGATTGGTTGATTAAATAATTGCATTAATGAGAAATTGAACAGGTGTTCCTAATAATCCTTTAGGTGAGTGTATATGAGTGTATATATATATATATATATATATATATATATATATATATATATATATATTAGGGCTGTGCAAAAGTTAATTGCGATTAATCGCATCCAAAATAAAAGTCTGTTTTACATAATATATTTGAGTGTGCTGTATATAATTATTTTGTATATATAAATACCTATGCATGCATGTATATATTTAAGAATTATTTGCGCTTAAATTCTGTATATATATATAAATACATAATCTATATTATACAAATATAAATATTTTATATAGGAATAACACATTTTCTTAAACATATACATGCATGTGTGTGTATTTATATATACAAAATAATTATATACAGCACACACAAATATACTATGTAAACAGAGACTTTTATTTTGGATGCGATTAATCGCAATTAACTTTTGCACAGCCCTAATATATATATATATATATATATATATATATATACAGTATATATAATACTGTATAGATAGAATATATTTATGAAAAAAATATATATAAATATGAAAGTAAAATGTACACAAACCAATGAATTGAAAAGAAAAAGTAATTTAGAAAATGTCAATTCAAAATACTGGATTGGAATCAATCTATACTCCATACTCACCTTTACTGTGAAAGAAACACCATAAATGACAGAGTGGTGTTGTGAACCCTCTCTCTCTTTCTCTCACACACACACAGCAAAACAAAGGTATACAGAACTTTTAAGCAGAGACATTTTTAAATAAAAAAATATATTAAACAACTATTTTTGTTCTATTATAATTATATTTTTAATATTGATGAGCATTTCCTTTCATTGCAGTTTAGTTTTTTACAGAACCACTATTGATCGTGTGATGCGTATTCAGTATCAAGACAAAATTACATCTAAAAGACAGGATTACCACAAGACCAAGATCTCACACAAAACAAAGTGAATCATTAAAGGGATTGTGCAATCAGAAACACATTGTGTCATTTACTCGCCCTCATGAGTACTCAACCTGTAATTTATGGAAACCTTGTGACGTCTGTGGAAAACAAAAGGCGTTTTTTTTTTTTTTTTCCTCCACGGAAAAAAAAAGTCGTACAGGTTTAGAACGACATGGGGATGAGTAAACAAACTCAAGATGTTAACTTTTTCATTAACCTTTATTGACATGAAATTCAAGAAAACTTCTGCCTTTACTAAATGTGTAGCCACTCAATTCAATATCCAAACTAGGCTGTAGTGAAAAATATAAGCTAAATGACCGTCTAGTGAGTAACTCACACAGGAAGACTCTGCCAGCAGAATCTCACCATGACGTCTCAGAACAACAGGACTAAGCACAATTATGTGGCAAACTCACAATTTCCACAATAATTTCAGCACTAGAGTCTAGTGATCACCTGACGGTCATGGCTGTTATAATCAGGAGAATATATATATAGATATAGATATAGATATAGATATATACACTACCGGTCAAAAGTTTTTGATCAGTAAGATTTTTTATGTTTTTAAATGAAGTCTCTTCTGCTCACCAAGGCTGCTTTATTTGATGAAAAAAAAAAATGACAAACAGTAATATTGTGAAATATTATGACAATTTAAAATGCCTGTTTTCTATTTTAATATATTTAACATATTTATATATAATTTGAAAGCTGAATTTTCAACATCATCATCTGTTGCTGATTACACATCAGTTTTCAGTGTCACATGATCCTTCAGAAATCGTTCTAATATGCTGATTTTATGCTAAAAAAAAACATAAATTATTATTTTCAATGTTGAAAACAGTCGTGTAACATTTCCCCCCCCAAAATTCTATAATGAATAGAAAGTTCAAAAGAACAGCATTTATTTAAAATATAATCTTTTCTAACATTATAAATGTCTTTACTGTAACTTTTGATCAATTTAACTCATCCTTGATGAATAAAAGTATTTTCTAATTTCTTTCCCCCAAAAATAAAAAAATTAATTCTTACTGACCCCAAACTTTTAAATGGTAGTGATTAATGTTTTAAAAAGCATGGAAACATTTCAGATCAATTCTGTTCTTTTGAACTTTCTATTGGAACCTTATTGTAATGTGTTACCAAAATGTAATAAAAAAAATACTTTTAAACTGAAAATCTAAATATAAGAAGCTAATTCAGAATATACTATGAAAAATACTATATAAACAATATTATAACACAGGGCCAAACAGTGGTCAAACACAGTGTTCAATCCAATTCATTTTCATTTTGGCAGTCATCATTTGTAAAATCAGTTGTAAAGCAAAATCTAGATCACTGAAATACACCAAGGGTTTCTTCATTGTTTTAAGATCAGATGCCTACCTGTTTTACGTACCAGCAGAACGACAATAGTCACATTTGGTAAACATTTCACATTAAGACCATGCCCTGCCTACATGATGCCTGTACAGGACTTCAAGCACCAAGAACATTAAAGCACGGTTGATGAGACGTTGATCTGAAACCAGCAGTGATTTTAACTCGTCCCCCTCGTCTCTTCAGACGATAGCAGAGGAGGATGAGGACGAAGAGGAAGATGAAGATGGGTTTGAAGGGGAAGGCGGAAGACTCCACAGCACCCATTTGCGCTTGCTCTGCCGCTTCTGCAACAGGTAGTCCTCCTTTTCCCGCTCCTTCCGTGCTCTCTGGTAGTGGTCGTCCTCCTTCAGGTACCAGACCGGAGGCCAGCGGTGCTTTTCAAAGTATTCTTGGTTCTCTGAAAATGCATCCGAACCAAAAACTTGTTAAAAACTGAATTCTGGACAGGTAAAAAAAAAAAAAAAAGAAAGTTTTCATGTACTACCTGCTGATTTGGCCCTCATGTCCCTGGGGAATTTACGGCACACGTTGTTGTAGTTGGTGCAGATGTGATGAAGGCACCAATCGGTGAGCTGGTAGGCACAGTGGAACTGAAATCACATGACAACATGTCAATTGAGTATTCTTTAAAGGAATAATTCACCCAAAAATCAAAAATGTATGACTGTGGGTTGGTACGATTTTTGTTTAATTTCTCTTCCTGGTTTTCTTGTGTCCAGTTGCCAAAAAAACAAGTGCCATGAAGCAAAAGTGGGATTTGAAAGCTACAGTGGGAATAGCTATCAAAGCTATCGTATGGCTAAAGAAGACATGAAATATAACCAAGCGGCAACCTCCCTCTCTCTCTCTCTCTCGAAACCAACACGGAAGTGATTTAAACTGCAATTCATCGATGGCCGCTTGAGGCTGGCTGCAAAAGCAAGTCAAATCTGTCCCATCTCCCCCATGATTAAATGCTTAACTTCACAGCAGAAAAAAACATGTCCACAGCCTGGTGGCAAATAGTTGTTTTGGTCTATATCGCTAATTTTGCCCTTCATGACGACTGTGAGGGGGATACATTTTTTTACAACTCATCCGTTTAAATTATATTAAGCCTTAAGGTTCTGCATAATTAAGGGCGTGGCCACTTGAGTGACAGGTGGATTGCCGCTCCTTTCACTGCTAGTCGTTTGTCTGCTGTCTGTTAGCGTCACCCTCATCTGTGTTTGTGCTTTTTTCGCGATTATTTCATACAACTTAAACAGGTATTATACTTTCGCCCGTGCACGCTGTTAGATTCCGTCGTTGTCGAGTATGGAGAGAACAACCAGCGCTGTATTTTCAGATATAGAGACCATACTCATTACTGGTGCTCTCACGGAACAGATATGCTTAT